ATCTCGGTACGAGCGGAAGATGTTATGGGTAGTAGAGCCGAGTGATCCAAATGTTTGTGAGGAAGTGAGGGGGTGAGGTTGGAAGTCAAGTGATTTAAGGCGGGGGCGTTTTATAGGCAGAATTCTGAGCGGATTGTCGGTGTACAAACAGACCAGCACGCATGAACGTCCCAGCAGATAAGCTATGATAGACTTTTGCTTCAGCCAGGCACCACCAAACACGACCAGGGTGGCGGGTGATCTGGATGATGGACGGCGGGCGTTTTGGAGTGGATGGCGGGTCGGGAGAGCGTGCGGGAGGATGGATGCGGGTCAGTCCAGTCGGAGATGAGGGGGCTGGCTGGGGGTAAAGTTTAAATGAATATAAACAATTTATATTATGATATCGCTTGAGAGCACCATGGTGGACTTACACCAGCAGTTGTGGATCAGACCAAGAATAAAGAGAGGGCGGGAGAGCTGAAACGACCAGTCCGAACACTGGGATTGGGGAGGGCTGACAGAGGGAGTACAATCGCCTCTTTGGTCTCTTTGGTCCGGGTGAGCTTGGGTGGTCAGCGGTCAGAGAAGGCTGTCTGACACTGTTTGCCAAAGGAGCAATGGGGAAAGACTGCCAAAGAGATTATGTACCGATTAGATTATGTTTGGGCACAAATATATGGACGACGGGCTGTATTGCCCGATAAAAAAGGAGGGCTGCTGATTGATTCGGCAGGCTGTATAACAAGAAATGTGTATACAATATGATGGCGCGAAAGAGGATGGGCGCTTAAGAGATGCTAATGGCAGAAGGAGGAAGACTCACAGAGTAGAATGTTGAAGGGGTGGAAATGTTTGGCAGAAGGTGTTTTGCAAAACCCAGTTCAAGCCGGACAAGAAGAAAGACGTGAAAGTTGCCTTGGTACCTGTGAGGGCGATTGGAGGGTTGCTCCAGCGAAATCAAATTACTTTTTATCTATGTGTGATGCGTGGAGGGGAGATCAGAGGGCGATAGTGTGAGCGAAGCGATGGGGCTTTAAAAAAATAATGAAAGGCTCTTTTATATAAAGGGGAAGTTGGAGTAGCGCTGTCACTGGAGGAGAGGGATATTTGGGTGGACGATTGCGATGTGCATACATGGAGTGTTCTGACTGCTCGGCTGGATGTTTATGGACTTACAGCAACAACAAGAATATTATTTTTTTATCTGGTCTTCTTGGATCTTGACGCCACAAGCCTGGACAACAACAACAACAACACCACCAAACGGCGGAAATACAAGAAGAAGAAGAAGACGACGAGCAGCTGAAAAAAGCTTAAAATACAGCGACATCGACGGGCCGACATGCGGATGTCGATTGACGCCTGAGAGTTGGAGATCCAGACAGTCAAGCTGGTCCATAGCCCTGGCCGATGGCCAAGTTTAATTGCAACAACCCCCCAAACTGAGCATTGTTGCTCGCTTGATGGTGATGAAGGCTAGAGTAGGAGGAGTACGCTCGACTTGCGGTGCTAGCCAACTTTTTAGACATCAAACCCCAATAAACAAATAATCTAGCCGGTGGTCAAGCACGATCTCATGAAATCGAACGATGGCTGATGATTATGCGCTCGACTCGACTTTCTTCCGCTGGCTGAGGGGGCTGTATTCAGGAGCTCGACTTGCTCTTTGGATCAGTTGATGATGGCGCAGTACAACACACACTCGCAAGTGAGCAAAAACACAAAAGATCGGATCAGTACAACGCCCCACGGGGACCCAAGTCGGGCGACGATTCATGCACACCTTTCGAGGCTCTTTTTTCTGGAATCACTGGCGAGTTCCTGCTGGCCTCGGCCCCACACTCAACCTTGATGGCAACTGGCCGCGATGAGGGGGGCAGCCAGTCTGACTCTGCACTGCCAGTGCCACTCGCAAGATCGGCTTGGTTCTTTTATTTATGTAGAAGCTCATGGTCTGATGACATAATCATGTGCATGTGGTTCCGGGATATCTTGGCTTCTGCCAACCGTTGGAGTGGATTGTCTGAGGCCGATCACCGAGGGTATAATTATGTAGTGTGCAGTAGCCAGAGGAGGAGGGTCTGGATCGAGGGTGCCAGGGGCAAGCTCGGATCGGGATGTCAACGGAAGGAGACGGCAACCCCACAAAGCGAGGACAGAACAGCGAACCCATGGCAGCCGCGCCGGCCGGAGCCTCTCATGAAGGAGTCTGAAAAAACTCAGACGGGGGCCGACAGGGCTGGGTGTTTCATGACGGGGGAACAGCCAGCTGCCGTTTGGGGCAGAATCCTGTCATCTCAAAGAACCCTGCAAGATCACATCCCCCTCGATTAATTGCATGAGTTACACCACAACATCGTGCCTTTCATGACTCCGTCCATGCAAGATTTGATTCGAACGTAAATAATTGTTGTATTGTGACATTTCCAGCGAAGCTCGATGTAATCTTTTAGAGTTCCGGCTGCTTCCTCCCGGTGATCTCCTCCTCCTTGAGCGGTCTCGTCAAGGCTATATTTATGACTTGCATGTGTATGCATCTGGAATGTAGGCCATACAATTTTCTGTATTTGCCCTGCTGGAAGCGGATCAACCGTTTGCGGAATTGGCCAAAGCTCTCGGCCATCGACTCACAAGTCCGGCACGGCTCGCAGAAATAAAAAAACACGTGATAAGTTAACCGGCCTCGGCCCGGAGTTGGATGGTGTCTGCGCATGGGTCTGCGCACTTCCAAAGATTGACTCTCAGGTCGACTCCCCTGCGAGACTACATAGAAATCGAAATATCATTTATTTAATAATAGGTTCACTGGATTTCGCAAGACTTTGATCAACATGTCTTGTATTGTCCGCAACGTGCAATCCTTGTGGATGTTATATTCACATTCGGATGATGCAAATCAATCAGCACAGCTCTGGTTGCCACTTGTAAGTAGGCGAGAGACGGGATGATAGACATCACAGTCAGTCAGGCAGCCTATACGGGGGATATTTATCAAATCAAACACAGGGAATGCCGCACCGACCGGGTAATTAAACATGGGCGCAAAACGGCATACACCGGAGTCCAGGTGGATGATCTTCATTATGACGTGGTGGTATTTGGGTACAGATCGTAGCAAGAGATCAAGACGAATTGAATGACATCATATTTGTTTATCCATGTCTCAAGCTGATTGCTCGATTTCGGTGGGTCTATGTACTCGCATATATTCTAAGAAAAGAGTCTTGATAAGGCTGTTTGATCGGGTTTATCTCCAAGTGTCCCTTGAGGTTGAGGCTAAGGCCGACGGGGGAGGGGGCAATGTTAACTGTGCTCTCCTATTAACCGAACAGCAGGGTTAAGGTATAGTTACCTGACTCTCCATAATGGTCAGGCCTGCCTTTTCTGGCACCCTGCAACAGTTAACACCATTGATTTGAGGGAACAATTCAACTTGTGCAATAAAATTTTCATCTGAGCTTGACAATTATATGCACAATATTGGAAGAAAAATAGAGAACCTGGATCCCTACTCTTACTAGGAGGTCACTAGGACAGTGGATCTTACTTGTCCTCTCCCTGAACAGCAGTTATTTCTACAACTTGATCCTAAAAGTAGTAAAATATTCAGCAAACGTTGGTGAGCCCCACCCTCTTTCATCAAGGGATTTAGCGATGGACTATGGAGAAAAGGAATAATCTTGGGATTCTTACCGAGGAGGGGTAGCAAGGAAGCTTCAAATTGTAAGATTTCACAATTCCCCTGATGATGAGAGAGAGAAGCACACATTTGGAGCAAAAAAAAAACACAACAGAAATGTGGCCCTCAGCAAAGTATGCATGTGTGAGCAAAACAAGAAGAAGACCAACGGAGGTATGAACCTTCCGCCAAGAAAATGACGGCCTGGGAACGATTTCACGCCTCGTTTCGGAGCCGTTAAAGAGACGAGGACATTTGGGGTGAAGTAAACATGATTAGGGTTACCGGTTTCGACATCCCAACCGGACGGGATGTCCACCGAGACGATCGGGGTTTGCGTTTGTTGGAATGACCGGATCGGCTCGTCGAATGGCGCTCGCGGCTCTGAATGAAATGAGAAGCCGAAGATCGCATCTAATATCACATCCGTTTCTCCTACTGCCTCGCTGAAATTCGCTCCGATCACCGGGATCCCCAGCGTTTCACATTGCCGGAGTAGGCTCTGTCCCGTTCAATAAAATCAATCAAATTGAGCTCAGGTTATTGAATTTCGATTTGCATGATGATCATGGGCTCTAGTGGGATAGAAATGGCTCGATTTGTCTGAAGACGACAATCCAAAGAGCCTATAGCCCTATCTTAATGAATGTAAGGATACGGAAAGCGTGAAGACCTTGTAATGTTCTTTATCGGTTTGCTTGGGGTAATAGAGCGTCGGTTTGTGTCCGAAATGCCCTGTTGAACGGGGTGATTTTTTGTTTTTGTTTTTGGGAGCAGCAATGATACATTGGATCTGGGTCGAAGATATGCAGTGACAAGACGATCGAGAGAGAAGCTCGGTTTTTTTTTGTTTGACTCACACAAATGACGGGCAGCCACCAGCCCATCTCCGCCTTGGTTTCCGGGGCCGCAACAGACCAAGACTCGCGGGTACCGCTCCGGACCATAGACCTTGTGTAGAGCTTGGGCACAGGCGAGACCTGCGAGTTCCATTAGCTTCATGTACACATGGTCCGGCGAAACGTCGATCCATCATCCATGAGGTTTTTAATAAAATCCAATCAGACCAACAGCCAATGAGTTGTAGTAAGCATCTGCAGTCTCCAGCCTCCTTGGCCAACCACAACAACAACAGAAATGCCCGGTTTGGGGAACTCACCTGTGCTAGAGTGTAGCCATATTTGGGTCCCATCAACTCCGCGTCGATCTCTTGGGCTTCCTTTTGTGTCAGATAGGTCATCGTTGAATCTTCCTTCATGGTTTCTGTTTTGCCGGTCTGTTCTGTTTTTGTCTTGATCGATCGGAAATCAGAGACTGACCGACCACACTTGTAAGTTTTTTACATAACCGAACGCGGTCGCGAACACGCGCGCGACGGCTATGCATAGAAGGTTCAAATGACGTCAGTCAGCTGCTACTGCTTTTGGCACGCTCCCTCATTCTACTCCCCTGTTACAAACTTCTATGTACATCTGACACTCTGAGGAGTATTCAACAAAAGATAAAGAGGAACGTACCTTCAAGGGGTCCTCAAGGATTGGTTGCTTATCAATTTGAAAAGGAAGTTTTTAAAAAACAGATGCCAAAGGCATGAAGTGAAAACAGAAACATCAGATTGAATCCATTGAGAATTGAAGTCTGAGTTACATAGTGTGAATCTTTATCCTTCAAAGAATGAGGAACTTTGAACAAATAATCTGCTTATGAAACATTGATATATGTTGGCTTGCTTGGATGGATTCTGATTGGTTTTCTTAGTTGAAAAGAAAATTAGAAGGCAGATATCAGGGATGTATGGTGTTCCAAATCCCACATGTAATCATTCCTTCACATAAAACCGTCAAACTGAGATTGGACCTTTCAGTAGAATTTTAACTCAAATTATCCTATAAGTCTCATCTCAAATTACATATTGTTATTTAACCATCAGCAAACAGTTTTTCACACCTGCATCAGAAAGCAACCCCCCTCCCCTCCCCCTGTATGAACAGGGCTGACATAGGATCTGTTGATATAGTTCAAATTTTGAGTTCAGCTTAACAATGATACCAATTTGAAAAATGAATCCAAAATTATGTAATGGTGTTTGAAGAGCTTTGGAAGTTCATCTTGGCCCAAAACATTTGCTAGTATGTTGCCCATTTTTTGAGTAAATTCAAGCATCACCAGATCCTCATTCTCAAGGTTAAATTACATGAAAGAAGAATTAATATTTAATTGGAACTTCAGCAGAAGTTGATTCCAATAAGCTTTACTATTAGCAGTATGTGAAGTTGTGAACTTTCAACTGACCTATTGTCTATGTGATATAATTTGGTTGAAAGTATACTAACATTCCCCCAAAATTAGCCTATCAAAACAGCAGAAAATACATTGATAGACTTAATCCATACGTAGGAACACAAGAATGAGCTTCTTGCTATTGATTAATTTGATCGAGATTGATTGTGTGTATTGTACACTTCTTTAAAGGAAAAAAGGGCCAAGTTTTGAGAATCACTTGATTGATTTGATTTTTGATACCAGCAGCCATGAACATGTGATTTGAAGATTGTGTCTGTCTGAGTATTCATATGTTTTACGTTTGGGTTATGTTTTGGTGGTGGCTTGAGCTGACTGAGTGAATCAAAGCATGATCGAAGAGAATTGAGAAACCAGTTTCAGTTGGAATGTTCGATCGGGGGTAGGGTCAATCGGGGGTGTCGGGGCGGGGGTAGTGGGTTTTGATATGAGGCCCAAGTTGATCATCCATTGCCAGCAGACTCAGTTCATCACTAACTACCATCACAAGAAAACCAACATCAACCACAACAAACAAACAAACAAACAAACATGAGACTCAACCGACAACAACAACAACAGCATCGAACAAAGAAACGGAAAACGGTCAACAGCACAACAGCAGCAGCAGCAGCAGTCGACTACAACAGCTCAGTCGACTCATCAACATCAGCATCAGCATCATCATCCTCATCAGCTGAAGAAGCAAACTACAGCAACAAACTACCACCACCTCGGAACCGACTCAGAACCCATTCAAGCAACCGAACGGCTGCAGTCAGAGTCCTATCACCACTACCTCCCAACGCCTGTCTACCAAGAAAATTTGCCACTCTGCCCGCCCATCTCAATCGACTATGTAACCACCATCCATCAATCCAACCTGGCATCATCCCATTCAAGACCCAGCACCACCCTCATCAGATCATCAAATCTAGACCACTCTGTGGCTCACTCTCAAACAGTAATACTGCTACTACTACTACTACTACTACTACCACTACTACCAGATCAAACAGAAAACGAAAACGGACGACAACCCGAGCCAAAACGATGCCCGAGCAGGAAGACCACCAATCTGCAAACGAAAACACTCGCCAGGTCATGGTCCTCATCAACCACTCACGCTCCCCCAGACTAGCTCGAACATTCAGCCATAGTGGTGACTCAAATAGTAGATCATCCAGCCAAGACCCTCATCTGATACCTGAAGCGGCGGCCTATTACATCCATCAAGCCTCAAAAGCTCAACTCTTACGATTACGGAGAGACCAATTGATTCAACTCATCAAAACCGGCTGGGCTAAGCAAGATAGGAGCGAAGAGGAGGAAGAAACTGATCACAAGAATAAAGACTCTCTGGCTGCCTTTATCACCGATGCGGTCAGTCCTCTATCTCTCTATCTCTCTCTTTCTTCTGATTCATTCTGCCTTTATCATCCTACCTTTCTTTTCTCTCCTGGTCCCTTTTTTACTACCAAACAAGCCCCCTCCTCCCCCCAGTTGCCATTCAAATTTCTTCCAGAACTACCACTCACTACCACCAATTACTCTTGCCAGTTTCTTTCGTAATTTTCAGTTCTCACATTGCTGGCTTTGCTTGACGCAGTGTTCATGTATGATCAAAGGCTGCAATCAGTTGCATCATTCCCTTCCCTATGTTACTCATGTTTACTGACGTTCTCATCCTGTTTATACATCAAATGGCATCCAGCGAACCAACCCAAATAAACACTCAATCATTCTCCCTTCACAATCCCAACCATCCTCTGCAGCCACACGGATCGAGCAAAAATCAAGCAAAGACAATTCCCAAGAGCAGACCACATCCTCTCAACCCTGGCCAGTGACGCGATTGCAGACACGTGTTAAGAGCTTGCCGGGCCAGAATAAGCAGATGGATGCTGGCCGAGAAACACGTCAAAATGGGACGATGGCGCGCTCGCGTTCTCAACAACGAAAGTCAACCACTGAGGCCCAGCAAGCCCCGGCGACGACTCGGAAGACGCGCAGTGCGACGCAAGCAACCAGCCAATCTTTGATCCACAGTAGCAGTAGCAGCTGGAGTAGCAGCTTGAACTCGGAGCGGCCGGTCGAAGAACCTCCGGCGACTCGGACCCCACGACGTCACTCGAACCGACGCAAGGCGGTCAAGTTCATCGGCCACCGCTCTGGCGGACCCACACCGATCGCCTATCGCACTCGGCGCTCCTCAAACCATCGCTCGGCCACTCGCCCCTTAATCTCTTCTAGATCTCGCAGCGCCCGTAGTGCGAATACTCCTACTAATAGACCGCCCGCTCGTCACGAAGTGGTGACACCGACTAGAAGTACGCGTAAGCTCAGGAACGGCAAGGTGATACCGCTGAAGAAGATGATGGACGAGCAGGCCGATGACGATCTCTTGCTCGATGCGAGTGAGACTGCCACTACGGAGAATGATGATGCTGAACGAGCGCAAAGCGATAATGCTGAAGGCAGTGCTGAGGATGATAGTCGGGAGCATGAAAATGAAAATCAAAAAAAAGATCAAGCAGCGGGTCAGACCGAATCAGAAAGTGATATCGAGATCTGTCGCGCTCAATCTGATCCAAGTCAAGCAACCAACTCAGATGAAGATGCCTTCGATATCGCAGATGATGATGATGATGAGATTCAGATAGATTCAGAAGGCGATGGAGAAGAAGGTAAGTCTATTCAATGGAAAAGGACTGCATGCGGAAAATGTTGACGGTCAGATGATGATTTGTAGACGAAACATTGGTTGATCTGAGCCAGGCGACTTCGAAAGGTCTCCTGCGACTTAAACGTGATAATCTGGTCAAGCTGTGTGAGGAGAGAGAGCTCGAAGCCGACGGGACGAAGAAAGACTTAGTACAGAGCCTACTCGCTTGGCGAGACACCAACGAGGCCGTGTCGCCTAGCTCGGATGTGTCTGAGCACACGCGAACAGAAAGTGTGAGTTCCGCAGAAGGCGAAGGAGCGGAAGAGAAGGGCCCGACGTCGATGGTCGATTCGCTCGTGTTCTTATCAGCTCGAGTGGCCGATGGGACGTGCTCTCGACCGATCGTACTCGACTCGACGGTCAACCAGCAAAAACTGATTGGCTCGAAACAGGCGAAGAAGAGCTTAGTAGGTTCCAAAAAGAGTGGGCAACCGAAGAAGGACGATATCGGCGAGCTATTGGACCTGGAAAGTTTGAATTTGCAGGATAAGGAGATCCAGGCAGACCAGCTCAAGAAGCTCGAGATGATCGGCGCGGGAGGCTTCAAGGATGTGTACCGTGGGATCTACAAGAAGGTGCCGGTGGCGATCGCCGAGATCCGTGGTCATCTGACAGAGATGGACCTCAAGGAGCTCCGGATTCTACGCGACTTACGACACGAGAACATCGTCCGCTTCATCGGCGTCTGCGTCCCCACCGAGCCCATCCCCTCCTCCTCTTCCTTAGCAGCTGGGACGACGACCAGCAATGGCTGCTCGAAGAAGTTACCGGCCTCTGAGGACAAGAGTCGGCCCCATTTACCTCCTATCATGGTCGTGACAGAGATCTGCACAAACGGAGACCTCTTCGACTATCTCCGTAAAACTCCCAACCCTGGCTTCCTCAAGATCTGTCAGATCTTTAGAGATATCTGTCGTGGATTGGATTACTTGCATTCTCATTCTCCGACTATCATCCATCGCGACTTGAAGTCTTCTAACGTTTTGATCACTAGTAAAGGGGTTGCTAAGCTGAACGACTTCGTTAGTCTTCCCCTCTCTCACTTGACTCGTCCGAGACTTTTTTTTTTGATGGTGGGAGATTGTGGACTTGTTCTTGTAGGGCTTGGCTCGGATCAAGAACTCGACCCGATCGATGGTCAAGTCCTTAGTAGGCACAGTAAACTGGCAAGCGCCAGAGCTGTGGGTTGCACATCCGCGCTACGTACGTCCTCTTGCTTCCACTCCTTCAACCGTTCATCGTGTTGAATTATTTTTAATTCGGTTTGGGACTTGGGATTTGGTTTGAATGATAGAATGAAAAGGTGGATGTCTATTCTGCTGGGCTGGTGCTTTGGGAAATGTTGCAATGGCATCAACCGGTTAAACGGTATCCGTTCGAAGGCCAAAGTGAGTCGATTCATCTATTTGTTACTTATTTCAAAAACTGGATCGGTGATGGTTGATTAAAATGATTTTTCATTCTTGATAGATGAACATGGGATTTACCAAGACGTAGGACATCGACAATTGAGACCAGCGACGGCTGGGATGAGGAGACAATGGGGCGACGAGATCTTGAACTTGGTCGAGAAACTGTGGGCGCAAAATCCGGTCGATCGGCCTCGAATGGATCTCGTCCTTGAAGAACTCGACTCTATCGTCACTCAGTTCAAGCAGAAATCTGCCTCTTGATTTTCTATTCACCTCCGTTTTCTCTTGCTCAAATGTTTGTTCTTCTTGTCGCTCGAATGGCAACCCGGATTTTTCGAGGTGATGGTCGATTACACCGCAGAGAAGGGGTTTTCTTTTCTAGAACTAATTTGTGTTTGTGTATGTAGCTAGTTTTGTCCTTGCATTGTACATCTGTTTGTGATTTTTTTTTTCTTTTTTGCTTCTGGTTCCATTCTCCATCCTCGCATCCATTGTTATAAACATCCTCTATTTTTCCCCCTTTTCTTTTGGGCAAGAGATTTTTTTCCCATGCATCTTTGTTCAATAGCTTAATTGTTAGTCAAAAGTCTATTTTTATCTTCTTCTTTTTATTCTACGCCCTGCTCTTGTAAATCCATGTATGTATTTCTGACATCATCATCATCATCATCATCTCTATCATCATTTCTCCTCTGACATCTACTAGATTACCTCCTCCTCCCACTTCTCCCTCCGTCTTACTATCAGTCAAATTACATACATACAAAAAAAAGATTACTTTTTTTTTATTGATCAATCTCTTAATTCTACTCAATTTAATTTATAGTTGGAAAGCAAAACTAAACAAAAATACTATTCAATTTAATGTAAGTTATAACTATTCTCTTTGAATAATGAAGATCATTGATTTTTCCATATGCTTTATTTGTACACAATCATTGAATGAAGATAATCCAAAGTACTAGATGATAGATCTCATTTTTCTTGAACTGACAAACTCTGGCAAGACCCTGGTATTATATGGTACAGTGAATTACTTACAACATACATGTTGTTTTTCATTCCAGAAGCGCAAACATATGAGCAAAGAAATGTGTTCTATCAAGATGGATGAAACATTTCTAGGAGAGGTTGATGCAACCCAACTTTGGGAGTCAGACCCCCAACTGCCCTTTTTATTTTTTTTTAATTAATTTTGTTTAATAAACCCCATCTGGGGGTTTGAGAGGTGGCACCTCCATGGCTGGGAGGAAGGACTCCTCTTGGCCAATCTTGCAGCATTAAACACTCCTGGCCTTCAGGGCCATACAGTCTTGAAGGGTAGGATCCTTTCTCTTGCTTCTTTCTATACCATTACAGCCAAATCGATCTAACCACATACTCATATAAGCCTAAGGGCATAAACCCTCATACCACATACACATAATGGTCCACCAAATGTCCATTTTTGCCTGTAGCTCATCCTTTTAACTGCATAACCTGCCAAACCACATAGCTAATTCAGTCCACCAAGGGGTATGCAGTTTAAAGGCTTTGACTGTACTTGAGTTATAGCTTGAACCAAGGGCGCAACCAATACAAGACACGTGCTGTATTCGCACTACATTGTATTGTACTTTGTTTTGCTGGTCCCACTATAACAAATACGATACAAGTACATTGTACTCAGCCAGCAAGTACACAATTCAAAATACATCCGTATTGTCCCAGAATTTGGGATAATACAAATACGGTATTCAGTGTATTCAGTGTATTTTTTCCCCACTGCTTCAAATTGCATTTTTTCAATTTTTTTTTTTTTAAAAAAAATTCTAACATACATGTAACAAGAAATATGAATAACCCCGGTTGGGGGAGGAGGAGCTGTAAGAATGGGATTTCTAAATGCTAGATAGATGAAAATAGCAGAAAAATGAAGAACCACAGTGTGTTAAGCAGTAGCACATTTAGTTTTACTCTCTTCCTGCTCCATCAAATCCTGAGAAACAATATCTTGGGCAGTTTGAAATTCATCATTGGCTTTGAATCCCTGCTTTAACCACTGATGAGAGGCTCTCACTGATCTCTCAATAGTTTGGATGGATAATCTTCCTCAGTTGGGTCTGCAAACATCAGCAGCAGCAGAGAAGCATTGCTCTACACTAGCCAAGGTTGCTGAACAGATGCCAAGACTGGAAATTCTTTGTGGTGTTCCTGATTTAGAGTAAATAACAGTTGAATCAGCCTTAGAACCATGCATGATATGTTAAATGTTGAGAATGTTTTTGTTTCACTTGCTTTCCACCATTCGAGGCATTGACCTGCCTGTGCAGGGAGAGATTTATACTTCCCCCCAAGGTAAATGGCCAGTTTGTCCGAAAATGAAGCTTCAATGGATTCTGGGAATAATCAAATGCTGACTATGGGTCGATGATGGTCAGTTGGTTGTGGTTGAGAGGTAAATGGGGGGGAAGTTTCTTCCAAATTGATGTTGGAAACAAGTTCATCTTTTTGGTTGGTGTATTGTTGTTGAAGCAAAGCTTTGGCATAGTCATAGTGGGAAGAAAAGCAGGCTTGGAATATGGAAAGCCAAAGGGAGGGGTTCAGATTTTTCAATCATCTTCTGTAACATTGCTTTAAATTCTGGTTTAGCCACATTGTTGATTTTTTTCTTGAGAAAATCCATTATGGAGACATATTCGACCAGGAGAATGCCTGCGGAAGAATGGTTGCCTTCCATTTTTTGGCCATGAAGTAAAACTCCTGCAAAAGGATTCAGTTAGTAAAAATGATCATGAGAAACATGCATCTTCATGAAAAATGAAACTCAGACTCACACTCAGTATGTCATAAGTTGCATCACAACTTCCCATTCACCCCGTGATATCTCATGATCATTAAAGAAATTCTTTCCGCCATCTCTTTCTTGCTGGTATTTCTCATTTTCAATGAGTTGGCTGATTATGGTGTGGCCCTTGTAGGCACAGTCTCGGCTTTCCCATTTGATGTTCCATTGAATCCCGTAGCCAGCAATGAGAGTTGGACCTTGGTCTTCAAGCTTGGTTTGCCACAAGTCATACTTGGATTGTTATGAAGAAGAAGATTTAATACGTTGGATGACAAAATCAACCTTTGTCAGTATTCCTGATATGGAGTGAGGTTTTGCCAGAGATGGAGCGAGTTTCCCCTGATTGGTTAAATTACTGTCGTTGTCAGCGTTTTCACTGGCTTCCTGATCACCGAGCTCTTCTTCATCTGAAGCAAAAGCACCAGAATTTTTGTCGTTGGTTTTGGCCTTGGGAATGTCATTGGTTTTGGCCTTGGGAATTGAAACTAGGAGCAGAGCAAAGCATCTTGACTTCATCAAGCCTTTGCTCTCCATATTAAGGACCTTGAAACTGGTAGTCAGGATTAAGGTAATCTTGTGGCAAACACATCAGATGTGATTTTCACACAGGTTAGGGCCAAGAGATGTTTTCTTGGTGATCAAGCAATCAACCTTGGCAGTCATTGTGCGGTTGTTTGAACCTGAGTCTGTTGTCTGATCCAAGATGAATTTTTTAATGGGAGGTGTTAGTGAGAGATTTAATCCATGAAATAAAAAAAAATGATAAATGAAATGAACACTGAGCTTTTCATGAAGGTCTGACTTTTTAATGATGTGCCAAATACTTCCCTTTTTGCGTCCAGGAAATGTATTTCAAACCTAGGTGACATATCTTGAATTCCCAATCCTCTGATATGTAAGCAGCGGCTATCCCCATGACTGTGTGGTGGTTGCCTTTTGTTGTCCGAACATTGTGGATGAGAGTTATTTTGGATGGGAGATTCCATGGTGAAGAAGAATGGGGAATGAAATCAATTAGCTCATTGAATGAATCAAACCTGAGAAATTTACAGTGAAAAACACCTTTAAATGAGAAATGACTTTATCCTGCAGGTTCAAATACAGCTTATGAGCTACCAAGGCAGCCCATGTACGTGAATATATTTTCATACCTGGTCAAGAATAGTTGAAGGAGATCCGTAGCAGTTTGTCCTTGATATGGATCCAAGGGAGTGCCAACAGTACAAGCCACATGACAAGGATCTGATTCAAAACATGGTTGTCAAAAGTAGTACTTGTCTAAGTTCTGTAGTTGATGCTTTTAGGTGTTTTGTTCTTTTATGGTAACCGGTAAGTGAGCTATGTTTCTGATGGCTACTGTTCTTCCTGAGCAAGGATTCCGAGTTGCATTGCCATCACGGTGCTTGTAGAGGTTTGATCCGTGTGCTTGCCCTTCTTGTACAGCCCAGGGTATCATTTGCAACTGTAATGGAGCTTCACTCCAGCTGTCTATGCAAATAAATATGAGAAGCAAAAAGAATCAGACAGATGATCAATCAACAGACAAAAGGACAGATTATCATACTTGATCAACCCCATATTGTGGAGGATTAAAGAATTTCTCAATGCTGTCAAAATCAGACAAATTCTTTCCTTGTGTTTTCCTGGTCAGATTCTTGAGTGAGATCCATGAAGCGGATCCCCTCATTGGCCTCAGTGTTAGTGGTGGGGGAGCGGTGACATTTTTTGTAAGTCCTCTTGCAAGATTTTGTGGTGGTTGGCACACAATCAGTGGATGTTGATGAGTGTGTGAGTTGTTGGTGTTTCTTTCTTTTTGGGGTAGTCTGACTCTGCAACTGAGTCAAAGATTGTCCCACATTCTCCTGACCAACTTTTTGCTTTCCTTTTTGAAGGGATCAACGAGCATCATCATTTGGGTGAATGTAGTTTGAATGAGATTTTACAGGAGTCACAACCCGTGTTGATTGACAGGATGGAAGCGGAGACAGAAGTGTACCAGAAAGGGGGAGAGGAGAGAGGCTGAGAAAAGAATACAACAGGAACTAGCCATTGAATCAAATATTGATGCAAATAATGAATCAACAACTTGGCTGGGTCTCAGGCGTCTGGGGGGCTCTAGTATGTTTCTGGGGTGATCAGTGCACGTCTGGGGGGAGGGGGCTCTAGGGTGTTTTTTGGGGCACTCAGAGTGCTTCCAGGGCCTTTAGTAGTGCCTCAGGGGTCTTCTGGGTGCTGGGCGCTCTAGGGCGTTGCTGGGCTTCTCAGTGTGCATCTGGGGGCTCTTATATGGTCCCGTTGGGGCTGTCAGTGTGCATCTAGAGCCTCCGGGGTGCTTGGAGTGCGTCTAGGGGATCTGGACCCTTGCTGAGGTGCTTGTAGTACGTCTAGGAAGCTCTAGAGTGTGGCTGGGGCGCGTGGAGTGGGCCTGGGGTTGTTGCTGGAGCACTAGGAGTGGGCCTGGGGGGCTCTAGAGCGTTGCTGGGCGCTCAGAAGGGGCCTGGGGGGCTCTAGGCTGGTTCTGAGGGGCTCTAGACCTGTTCTGAGGTCGCTCTGGGGTCGATGGTCTGTAGGAGGACCTCTGGGGCTATTCCAAGCCTCCTGTGGGGCCCTGGGTGGCTTGATGGTGCAGGGGTCCTGGCCTGGTTCCAAGGGCCCGAGAACAATCCAAACATAAAAACACAGGGTTCTGGCCAATATGCGGCCTCCTGGGGGTACAAGAGGGGCTCCTGGGGGTCCTGTGAGCACTGTGGGGTTAGAGAGAGGTAGATAGGTGTGAGCAATAAGGTTTGAGAGGAGTGATGAACAGGGTTTAAGGGGAGGATTCTTAAGGTTTTACAGGTAGGTTTTGAGGGTTGATTTTCTAAGTTTGAGAGGTGAGATTTCCGGGTTTTCTGTCCTAAATTTGGTTTAATTTGATCTTGTAAGATGTTGAGTGGGTTATGGTTCTTGATGGTGGATAATGATGGCAAGATGAGTAATGAACAAGGTGTGAATCACAATTAAACTCCGAGTTGTGATCCAAGTTGTGACATGTACGTACCCGTAGGAGTGCTGAATGTCAGAGATCTGAGTACATGGAATTATGGGAAAGTTATGTATCTGTATCAGCCACGTATTGTACTTTTTCCAAATACAAAATCTTACAAGTACGGTGTATTCAATTCTGGGGGAAGTACACTTATGTAAAAATACATTGTCTTGTACTCAAGAATGAATATGATACAATTCGGTGGAATTGAGAACTTGGAAAGTAAAATATGTGGTCATTAAAAATATGTGTCTTGTATTGGTTGTACTGTTGCTTGAACCTTGCATAACTACACTCTCATTGTTTATATTCTTCTCCTGATAGTCTAGCATTAAATCTGGTTATGTCTATCCCCCAGCTTCTAGTCTATGAACCCTGTCTGAGGAGGATCTATCTTTCCTCTTGAATTCCTGCTTATTGTCTAGGTTATATCCACTTCATTTTAGTGTCTGATGTTGTACCTGTCTGTTCCTTCTACTTTGCTTTTGTACATTCATTTTTCCTCAACCACATCTTGATCATACTTGTACCTAGTCTATTTCAACTAGATAGGTTACATGCAATGGTCAACATTGATTTCCCTCTTTTCCCACCTCTCTGAGCCAATCCAACAATTAATCTTGTTGTTGAATCATCTTCCCTCAAAAATTCTTCCTAGAGTCAGTCTTAGGGCCAGTACCATATGGCATGAAAATTGAATTTTTCATAATTTTTCTGGTCTTCAGGAAGACCAATCTTATATTGATTGACCCTGGCAAACCCAACTGTGAGGGGTTGTAATCAAGTCAACCCCTTTGGCAGTGCAAGTGTCTGAGATCCATGACAGCCCTTGTGGACAGTTTTCATCAAAAAAACTCCTGTCTGGTCAATATTGGTTGTATTCAATTTCAGTGGCCCTGAAAACATTCAGGCAGCACTATTTTCTCCAACAAGTAACAAGTTAAATTTGTATTTTGTCTGAATTGAAGGGTGGATTGTTTCATATCAATAATCTAGTGAAATTTTATGAGAAAGGTGCTACAATTGGTTTATCACTATATTGGTTGACTAAATGAGGGGATTTATCATGAGACAAGTCTCCTCACTTTCCTGTTACCTCAATTTTCATTTCTCAAAAAAAGCAATATGTGGAAAGAAAGAAATTCACCAACTTTGAACAAAATTGGTAGGAAAATGCAAATGAGGCAATGTCAGAAAGTCTCAGTAATCATCTGCGTCTATCTAGTGTCTGATTCAATGCAAGCCTTTTTGCATGATTTTAATAGCCTTCTGGACAGCCAGAAAATCCAGATTCAACACCCTTATCCCTTGAATGAGGTCCCTAGTCTCTCATTGACCTTGTCGAGTGGGGGATCACTGGGGTCAAATCTTGAATTGCACAGGAATAACATAGCTGATCACACTGTACCAGTTGGTTTTATTCATGAAAATGCAAATTACTCAATAGAAGAGCTGAAAAATGCCGGAAAGGAGTTACGCCTCAACTTGTCTGGTCAGGTTCCACCTAAAGAAGAAATTGATTTTTCAACAGACCCTCTTGCTTTGGCGAGTGAGCATGAAGAATATAGAATGATTTCTCCTAGCTTTTCATCCTTTCTATATGGCTGGGAGAATCAAGATCTAAACAGTGGATCATCCAAGAAATATAAGAAATCAGATGGTGGTTCTCTTCTTCAAATTTCTAAAATCAAAGAACCAATAAAAGAAGATTACACAATCAAATACCAATCCCATGATGAGGTTAAGCCAGTGGATGATTTGATTAAATTTGGGAAATGCTCATACCCAGAACCCAACAAGAGCCAGAAAATTGAAACACACAGCACATCATGTAGCTTGCAATGCAAGGGTAAAACAAAGAGGCCTTTAGGGGAAGATTCCTCCCCCAGTACCTTTGGTGCAAATAAACGGCCAAGCTTGCATCACCTGAAGGTTTCAGTTTACAAGAATGAAAAATCAGAAATGAATTTGTTGGAATCTGTTCCAAAATCCCAAAACAAACACTCAAAAAAACCTATGGATGTTTTCAATAAAAATTCAATAGGAATATCCATTAAAAACTCATTTAATCTCAGAAAATTCAATCAAGAAGGAATCAATTGGTTTCAAGAGGGAGTAATTTCTGGAGATGGGGTAAATGCAAATTTCTCCAAACAGATGAAAGAAAGCTCACATCAAATTACTAGAAATATCAATCATGATTATAGTTTCAAGAACAAGTGTCTTTTCACTCGTGAACTCAATATCAAAACTCTTGATTTTAACCTAAGTACTATTGTGGTTGAGGACCCATCTCCAAAGATTAAGGAAGAACTGAAAAAATTCTTTGTTTCAATAGCATCAAGTTCAGATGGAAATATAATTTTGGATGGTAAAAAGGCTTCAACTGCTTTCGAGAAACTCTATCATATTTATCAAGTTGAAAAAAGCTCAAATACTAAGAACCGACAATCATCTAGAGATATGATCAGAAGGGGACTCACTGAAATGGGATATAATCAAGAGCAATGGTTCAAATTTTGGGAAAGAAGGTCTGGTATCAAGCTTGAAGATGAAATAAAAAACAAAAATACAGGTTTACATAGTAATGACATAAAATTACTTCAATTCTTTTTGTTTCATGTTGATATGATTGATACCATAATTCAGTACAGCACAACAGATCTGCCAGATAATAAACTCAAGGAAAATCTGTTCAAAGATGCAATTAAAAGATTCCAAGAATTCAGATGTACTTCACCCAAATACAAACCTGTGATTATAGAAAACACGGATTCATTTAAAGCCCATTGTCCTGCTTTAATTTGGCACTGTATTTTCTTTTGGATTGAAAGAGGAGAAAGATCAGACCTGAAATTACTGGCCTTCAAATCACATAACCAAACAAAAAAAATCAATCTGAATTTCAGAATATTCTTCAACACACTTTTTAAATTTTCTATTTTCAACCTAAATAAGAGATTGAAAGTTTTTCCCAACTTATGTATCTGAAATCTTTCCTGTGGTATAATGGCTACAATTGTAGATGACATAAACCAAACTTTCCCCTTCTTCAAAAAAGGGCCAACTTTGAGCCCTATTTTTGAATGTAATAATCATGCTACTCACACATGCTGTACCTTGTTCAATGCTTCATTGGAATCAGATGGAGAACACAGATTTGTGTGAAACATCCAATAACAATGCATCTAGAAGGCTTTTTTTTGGGACTTTCTACATGCTTGTGCTACACAATTGTAATCTAGTGTTCTACATCAAATGTAGCATCCAAACATGAAAAATTTGTGAGTGTATTACCATTATTACATGGAAGGAATCCCTTCCAATTGATGAGGTATTTGAATCTCATTGACTGGAGGGGGTTCCTAATCCCTTCTGGTCAGGTGGGAATGACTCCCAAACCCCCCATGCATGAGGGGCGGTTTGGGGAGCTAACTCCCAAAAAACCAATAATAATAATAATAATAATAGGGGGTATCAAATATAAGAAATCCTTAATCCACCATTAGAAACCAGTCAATTATCCAAAAATATTTTTTTCCACCAATGGGTCCACAACGGGGTAGGATGAAGAACTAACATGTTTAAAAAATGGTGGTTTTTTCAAAACCAGTCAATTAAAAAAGGGTGGATTTGGTTATATTTGATACCACCTAATAAAAAGAAAAAGAAAAAGAAAAAGGGGGGATAACCCCCAATGGATATTCTCTGTGGGTCCTTGAGAGCTGTTGACTAATTTTTGGGAGTCATTTTTCCAAGCACCTTGATATATAAACATGATTCAGTTTGGTGTTGAACTTTACAACTTATGACATGTAACAATGCATCCAAATGGTGCCTAACAATTGAATTTGTTTTAAATTGTATGTTAGTGATATGGCATTCACATTGGGATCCACACAAGTAAATCTGTGGCTGCTACACAATGTTACACCACTTCTAAGTGGAATTTTGACAAAAAGCAGTGCAACACTGAATACTGCTAGGTAGTGCTGCTGACAGACAACTAATTCTACAGCATTGGGAGGCTTCCTATAGGGTGCTGGACTACCACTAGATGGTTGTTTAGTGTAGTTTAGTGTAGCAACCCACCGTCATGACACTGGCTGGCGCTGTTCACGGTGGCAGTACTTTTCTGATAAGCAGGACCAATGCTTGGATTCACTTTTATTGATCTGTCTTAGTGGGTTTACCATTGGTAGTTCACATAAAGATGTTTATCCCAATCAGCAGCCACATGGACTACTGAAAAGCTCCCCCCCCCCCCCTTGAATCCCATTACTTGAGCTGTAACCCAACAAGGAAAGAAAAAAAAATGAACAAAGAAACTGTGTTGAATAGAATCTTCTAATGAATTGTATCAATGAGAATAAATGGAGGTCTTCCCGTCGGTTTTACAGGCCCTGTAAAGCTATTTTCACAGCCTGTAAAGCTAAAATAAATTTACATGAGCTTTGATTAACACCGGTCGGAATCAGCACTGCTCTCCTCTCTGATCGCCTCTCTGATTGGCTCTTGTATCCTCTTCTAGCTCTCACATTCATACCCTCTTCCTACCATCTCCGACCAACTTCTTCAAGATGGCACCATCAAATTCCCCTCAACAAACCCACCCTACCCAACTAACCCACCCAATCCAGCTAACTCACCCTATCCAACTCACCCAGTCGACCCAACTCACCCACCATACCCAACTACCCCACCCTTTCCAACTAACCCAGCCAAACCAACAAACTCACCTCATCCAACTGAACCAGCCAACCAAACAAACCCAGCAAGGCCTCCCAAGCCAATTAATCAGCCCAACCCAGCCAACCCAGCCGGGCCAACAAAGCAACCCAAACCAATGTGAAACTCCCGCCAGTACCCAAGCAAATCCGTCCTTGCAATCAGCCGCTTCTACTGCATCCAAGCGTCCAGGGAGGCAAAAGGGATCACTTGGATACACGACTCCAGACTGCTTGGCTCTGGTGGATGCAGTCAAGATGTACCTCCCTTTGGGCTCCCAGGAGTGGGGATATGTTCAAGTAGAATTCAACAAATACGCGCAAGAAAGTGGTCAACCAACCAGAGAGGCCGAAGCCTTGAAGCTCAGGTTCCGAGCCTTAGCAAACCAGACGAAACCAACAGGCGATGCTGACTGTCCATTGTACGTTCGCGAGGCCAAAGCGACTCAAATATCGATTGACAGGCGCGCTCATGTCATCTCTTGTAGTGATATCAAAAACATCAATGAGGGGTGAGTGCTTTAAATATGATGGGATGATGAAATTATTAAGAAAAAATTTGTTTGAATTCTGTTTTGTCAGGAATGATGTTGCAGGAGAAGTTGAGGTGTCAATGCAAGAGAATGGAGGAGCCAAATTGGAGTTCGATGGAAACAAAGATGTGCTTCCTGATCCTCTCGATCTAACCTCACCTCCAGGGACAAACCCTGCCAAGCAATCACGATTGGACAACTCTGGACCACCCTTGCAAAACTGTTGAGCCAAAGGTCATCAACCTCTGGTCCAGGCTCAGGTTCTCACCAAAACCCTTTGGTGAATCGACCAGAAACTCGGGCCTGATCGGATGGCCCTTACAGGGGTGCAGCGCAATCAAGAAGGCCCGGACAGCCTCCACCCCAACTTGAAGAAAACATGGTCGCTTTTTTCGATCCTCAAGCGCAAGAGGCACGCGATCATGAACGTAGTGTCACTCAGTTCTATGCCTTTTCCTTACAAGATTCTCGTGCGGCCAACACTCGTCTTGAAGCCGAGATCAAGCAACTACGCGATGGGGATAAGAGTCTAGCTAACCAACTGAAAATTGAAAACGATCGACTGAAAGAGAAGATAAACGACTCGATTTCGGAGGTAGTAGTCACTTACGTCATTCTCATGCAACCAACACTTCCTCCAACGGTCATCTGCCCAGCACTTCATCTCCACACAACACTTGATGAAGGTGGAATCTGATCTGTATGGTTTTTATTTGATCAAACCTTTATTTTATCTATCTTGACTGCTTCTTGTGACTGCTTATAAACCCAGCCAACTATACACGGGCTGCTATACACACATACATATATACATATATATATATAAATTGATATCGCTAGTTGCTATGCTATCAGGACTGCCATCCCACCTCGCTTACCATGTCTTATAGTAGTTTTAAATTGAAACACCTGCTTGTTTATTTCAATATCATCAATATGACTAAGGAGTGAAGCAATGTGAGATTGATCTGAATTGAACATAGACAATCAATAACAATCGATCCCAACAAAATGACTTCAATAAGAAAAAAAAAATCATTACAATTTCTAAGTGGTGAGATTAAAACAGGTTATTACCCTGGAGATCACACAACAGCAAAACAAAATGAGAAACATTTCACTTGAGAATGAATGAATCTATACAAGCGAGCAAAAAAATTGAATAAATCAAAGCCACCCGTTGTAATACCGGCTAATCTGGCATTTCTTTGTTATCTGACCAAAAAGCATTCTATGGAACAATCGACACAACAAATTATAGTCATTTTCAACATCTCTATAGACCTTTTGTGTCTGATTAATACCAACCGATCGACATCGCACTTGATGTAGCCAAACTGCAAGCTCAAGGATTTGTGCTCGATATTCATGGTCAGATGCAGGCATGGGAAGCTTGAGCCGACTGAAGGACCCTTGGATTGAGCACATCCCCCACTCTGCAGCCTGACGAGCTGAAACCAGCTGTTCGTTGAAAACTTTCAGACGTGCAAATCACATTGAATCCTTTGGCAACTTGTCTCCCCGCTTCGCAGGGGCCACAATTCGATAGCCCAGCCAATTAGTAACCCACGGAAAAGCAGTATCACTAATCACCCGATATCCATGTGGTGTGTTGTGCTGCAGTTGCTCGTATAATTGTTTGGCCACATTTGACTTGTGCCAGGAGCCGGGTGCGTTGAGAATGGCATGTTTAACTGTGCCATCCGGAGCAAAAGTTAGGACACTGCTGCAATAATGTGCGCAAGTCCAGCCATTGTAATAGGCATTTTGAAGGCTGAATTGTAGCCACGTTAGCATCGTGAGTCATCAACAACAGGTCATTCAAGATCCAAATACCGCTTACTCATCATCATCAGCTACCATGATGGGGAGATTCAATCCGTCAATGAAACCAAAACACTTTGTAAGCAGCGGGAATTTTCACTCAATCAAAGAGCTGTAATATTTTGTTTTCTCCTCACTTGATGGCCATACAATCTTGGCCATTTCAAGATTCCGCAATACATCCAGGAGAAGCTTGAGACTGTGTTGCAGATATTGAGCGCAAACAGCTGGAGTTATCGCAAAAATTTGCTGCAAAGTATGTGAAGCCATAGTCAAACTGATCCAGTGTAGTATAAGACCTAAGCCACCGGCAGCGTCAAGAGATTGTCTAGCTAGTTGAGGTGCACCGTTTGGGTTCACATCGGCCCGGCAGATTGCTTCCGAATCCCAGGCTGCACTGAAATGTACTAACAACGCTTTGAAGGTCTGAACATCAACACCCATAGTGGTGACGTATGCTCGATCATTACCGAACGTTCGCAAGTGAGCCCAGGCACTACTTGATCGAGGATGACCAGCGAGATTGTTTCGTGTAAGGTAGGTCCGTAGAGTTTGGATTGGAGTGGGGTGGCCTAAGATTGCTGATCCGATGATTGCGGCTAAAGCATCTTCCTCGTCTTCTTTGTTGCGCCAGTAGTCTTCATCAAAGGTGATTAAATCCATCAGATGGAGTTTTGATGGTAGGATTCGAGCTTGGAGTGGGAGGTGGTGTCACGGGCAGGTTGGTGAAGGTGGTCGGTTAGCGTACTTGTGCTGAGTAAGATGGTGACAGCAAGGCTTTGGCCGATGCTGTATTTTTGATATGCTTGATCCCAACGGAAAGCCATATTTACAGGGGGCTGGTAATTTGGATTTACAGGCTGTAAAAATAGCTTTACAGGGCCTGTAAAACCGACGGGAAGACCTCCAATCATGAGATTAGTTTGATTTGAGAGAAAAATTACTATTACTCAAGGTTTTGTGACTAAAAGATTGTGGCAACTTGATACTTTCACTATGATTGATCCAGGAAACAATACAAAAGGACTACTTTTGAGCTGAGAGCCAAAGATGAGGAAATTTCAACAATATCTACAGTGAATCACATCAACTTAACAAACAAGAAGTTTTGACTTGTTAAAGCATCCACAAAAACAGTATGTAGTATTATACTAATTGACCAATGACCAGTTTGCACTGCACTCATAGCACAACAGTTTTGACTGGAGCCCAAATGAACTAAAAACTAAGCTAATTAGGTCATCTGATTGGTAGGCTGGCTTCATTTCTGTTTGTCCATTCCCTCCTATCTCCTTCCAAACTTTTCTGCTCTGGCAATGTGAGTCATACAATAAGATTAGGAAGAGAGTATAGGTATGCATTTTATGGGTGAGTTTCATGTCCAAATTCATATCATGTGGTACCAATACCATATACATCTTGGTCATCCCTCATAATGAATTAATCAATATACCCTGAACCTGTGACTTGAGGAAGGCCAAGAACCTGGCTTCCCATGAGGATGCCCGAGTCATGGGCTTCATCGTATTAGAAATAAGGTAACTGTCCATGACAACAACAGATTTTGGATTGTCAAAGGTTAAGCTTGTTTGTGTTGGTAGGCTATTAATTGAACACCTATTTATATCATCTATTGTGAACTTGAATGTGGACATCCAAATTGCTTCCAATTATTTACGTTCAACCAGCCCTCTTCCTGCTAATGTTCACAAGCATGTGGAAACAAACTGGAGCAACCAGAAATTGACCCTCAAACAGCCTCAAACACGGATAACATCTGTTCCCAAGAGCGACCACCCAAAAAAAAAAATGAATCAAGCATCATGGTTATGCAGAAAAATGCATTGCGGATTTCGTCATCTTTCATTTGATGTTGTATTGATGTTGTATCAGATAGGCTTTCATGTCTTGCGACACCCCAATCATGTAAACTTATCTTTTCGAGCACGATGTGTTTTTTTTATCGAGTTTCTTTTGAAGTAAGAAAAAAATAAGAGAAAAAAATAAGCATCATGCTGTGCTCTAGACATAAATTAACAGATGATACAAGATTCAAGTTTAGCTTAATTAAATGAGTTAGGCTTTGATCAGGTATGATGTAAATTTGTATTGTATCCTGCGGCACAAGGAATCAAAAAGGGTCTCATCAAATGTGAGTTATCATCATCATGCTTGTGAGCTTTCTATGTATATAAATATGTAAATATCCATATTCAAACACAAGCCTCCACATTTTTTTAGTATGACTGCGCCCTTCTATTCTCCATGGCTCAGCACTTGTTTTTTGGGGAGAGTCTTCTTTTAGAGTGATTCAGTGGGAAATCCAGACTTGATGATGAAGATTTTCGAGAACTGTTTATAATGGACTCTAGTAGGCTCTCGCTGGAAATTATCAATCAGTTTCCGGGGTCGAAGTGGTTGTGTTTCTCCTATTAAGACACTAGTGCTACTTCTAACCTTCGGCCGCAAGATAGCACGACGATAAAACACTCCTCCAGAACATCCTCGTTTCCCGCTCGGCCGACGACTAGCTCTGATCTGTTTCCTGTTCTTTGATCAGAATCAGTAGGCTTGTACATCTTCCTTGGAATTTAACTGTACAACCCACACTTTATTATAAGCTAGTACGACGGGCTGATTATCGTTTGTAAGAGTTGTAATCGAGAAGAAGAAGAAGAAGAACAAGAAGAAGAAGAAACAGTTCAAGAAAGAAAGAAAAAATAGAAGCAGAAGCAGAAGATTACATACATCAACATTATCATTCGAACGAAGTAGTGGAGATGACAAGTTGAGATCTGAGGAATCGATGGGAATTTACTACAACAATAACCTGATCACTCGAGGAGACTGTCGATATCGAGAAGCTCAGTCCACCGAACCAGCGGACAAGGCCGAGGGGGAAATAACACGAGAGGAGAAGAAGAAGAAGGACGAGAAGAAGGAGAAGAACAAGGAGAAGAAGGACAAGAAGAAGACAGAGAAGAAGCCAATTAAAAAGAGACACAAGGAGGAGATGGTGGTCACCAATCTCGTCAGTCTGCCGGTCGAGGTCATCGAGCTCATCGCAGGCTATGTGGCAATCCAAGTGCCCTACCAACCACCGAGCAGTCTACTCAACTTCACCCTCATCAACAAACGGATTTATCACTTGCTGAGACCAGAACAGAACGACCAACTATACGCTAACATCTTCAGGAACTTATTCGACATCCAAGCACTCGAACGGCGTCTCAGAGGCTCCTATAACCCCTTCTCGACCAATCCTACTAAAAATACTCACTCCATCTCATCTTATTCAACATCAACTAGACAACATGACTCTCATACCGATGAGCAGAAGTATCAGTCGTCCTCGGAAGGTACGAATCCGGATAGCAATCCTAACAAGACTCAAAACGACGATGAGAGCGGAAAGCGTGGAATTCAAGACGAGCAGCATGCTGACGAACCAACTGAAGATGGACGAGTCGAGGATAATCAAGATTCGGGAAACAAGGATGTCATAAATGAGGATGGCGGTGGAAGTGGCTGCGGTGGCACAAGTGGCGGGGAAGAAGAGGACCCAAATGGAAGAAACTGTACAGGATACTCTCAAGCCACAGTTCACGAATCAGAATCAGAATCAGAATCAGAACCAGAATCAGAATCAGAATCAGAATCAGAATCAGAATCAGAAGGAGAACGGAGAGTCAGAATCAGAATCAGAAGGAGAACGAGAAGAGAGGAGAGAGACGAGGAGCAGGGAAGGATCTGGACTGTGTAATAGCCATCTGGCATCGGCCTACTTCGAACGACTGGGCCTGTTCCGTCGGATGCGAACGTTTGCCAGCCATCCGGCTCCGACTCATCCTGATGGCCGACGCTCAACCGACCTGGAACCATACAAGGATCAACGCTCATTCCCTCAACCTGGGAATCAGTTCATGAGCCTGATCTCCCGTGACCTATGGCTCATCTATCTCATGGTCCTCGAAAATGACGGTCGCAACTGGTCTCAGCTGCTCAACTCCGGCAACATCACTGGCTTCCTACTTAATTATTCCGTGCGTACAGAAAAAATATTATGATAATTATGATCTATTTCTTGAAACAGGAATTGTTTCTCTTATATTCTATGATTTCCCGCTGTTTGATTGCAAAAATATGTACCCTTCTCAGCATTAAAAAGCCAACACACCAGCCTCACTATAACTAATATCATTTATTATTCCCCTCGCATAAACATACAAAACAAAAACAGCATTATGAAATAAACCCATCAGCCATATCACCAGGCTATCCGATCGAGCGTCCCGAAATCGCAATCGCTCTACGTCTGTGTCATCTATTCTTGGACTTACAGCAGGAGGAATCCGAGTCCCAGCCCCGGTCTAACTCGGCTTCCGAAGGCGCTGGTTATTGGACTTCCGAGGCTGGAATCGAGACGTATTTGTTTGCGTTGAAACCGTACACTCTTGCAGCTCATCAAGTCGGCTTTTTTCCCTCCTCATCCTGCTTCTCCATTTATTTATTTTTCTTTGTAGTGAGGAGAGATCAATTGTATTGACAACTTCTGCTTGTATGTCGGTCTTTTTTTTTAGTATGACGTGGCTTATGCACCCTGGTCGATCCGTCAATTACCGATCGACTTCTCATCTCCAGACGTTTCAAGAGTGCTACAAAAAAAGTTGACTGAGCGGGAACTGGCGACACTGGCGCCCATGAGGTGGGGTCACTCGCAGACAGATACTAGACGGCTAAATGTGACATCGAACCAGACTTCAATCAATAGATCTACTTCGAATGGACGCGCCTCAAGAATTGATAACGAACCATCCTCATCCTCCGAGCGTGGTCATCTGTTCCAGTCCCCCGTGCAACGATATTCTGAGCTAGCCTACATGGGCAAGCTCTTTAGGATTCTTCCACCCTTACACAGTCATGTGGCCTTGCTGAGCTTCTTCTGGTGTAACATCCGCCACAATGACTCAGCTGAGACGCAAGGCTCGGAGGTCGAAGACCAGCTGGAGTTTTTCCTGAGGAGGATGCGGAGCGTTCTGAAGATGACGTCGGTGGAGTACGACCGGGAGTTCGTCCGGCAGACGAGCTGTTTGGATCCCTTCCTCTCCCCAGGCTTGCAGTTCGACTTCTACCAGGGTTGTTTCAGGGGCGGATGGGAGGGCCAGTTCGGGTTCTACGACCTTTCGAACTATCGGCTGATGCTCGAAGGCCGGATCGAGTCCGTCTACGAGGGGCGATATGGGGACCAGAACCAGGTGTTCAAAGTCCAGGAGTTCATCGTCCGGGTCCGCGACGACCAGCCGGTCGAGTTCCTGGGCGACTCTCGGGAGAAGTATCTTGAGCCTCGACGGTCCGCTGGCGGCTTTGAGGCCGAAGAAAAGGACGATCGTCATCACACGCGTTCAGAGGAGCCCCTGGAGAGCGAGATCGAGCGTCTGAGTCAGATGAAATCCTTGCTCTATCCCACCCCGATCGACTCGATCCTCGTCAACTACGATCCCACCGAACAGTACGAACTCCAGATCCATGGGGCTGGGCATTCCTCCTGGGGCCATTTCAAAGTTAAGGGTCGGGTCCGGGCTTGGGACGGGATGGTCACCTTCCTCAAGATTTACGATACCGGTCGTAATGGTAGATGGCTCTATCGTGGCTATCATACTTCTGGTAACATGATCGGTTCGTTTCGTACCCTTCTTTCCCATCCTTTTTCTGTCTCATCCTTTCTTCCTGTTCCATTCATTGACCTCTTGCTCTCTCTCCCTTCAAAAACTTTTCCCAAATTAGTCGGGAGATGGAGAGATACATTAACTTCAGTGAACTTGGATGGTTATGAGGGAGCATTTGTAATGTTCACCAGAAATTAAATCCATCATCCTCTTTCTCTTCCTTTTTCTCAGGTTATTTACCTGATTTTTTTTTTTTTTGCTTTCTTGATCATCGTTATTTGTGTTCATTCATTGTTTGTTTGTTTGGTTTCTTTTCTTCTGCATTCTTATGAGTAACTTATTGATTCCATCCAAGTTTGACCTCAACTCTTTATATTCCTCCATCATTTTTTTGTTCTGTTTTTGTGTCTCATGATGATGATCTTCTTTTCTTCATTGTATCTGTATCTTCTTTTTAATTTATCATCTCTTTCATTCTGTGTTGGTGTTTTTTTATTTTGCAATTAGGTGAACATATACATACATACATACATACATACATCATACATACATACATATACTTATGTGATTTTTTTTTTTCATTTGTGACTGTGATATTGTTTTTATTGTACATGTTCCTATTCACTTATACAAACAAATTTTTTATTCCTTTTGATTCATCTACAAATCACACAAATACACTATCATATAATTCTCAAATTTTATCTTGTTGTTCATTCTACAACTCAACATGCAACTTTCTTTTCATTCTTTCAAAGAAAACAAAGCATCAACAGAAGACCTGCCTTTGATTTCAATTTTCAATCTGGAGGACATGAAGTGATTTTTAGACCCCTCTCAGTTCTAAATCAACACTCTAATTAAAACCACAACTAGCTCACACAAGGGCCTTCACTACAAGGCTCCCAGAGAAAGTTTTTTTTTCTTTTCTTTTTGCCAAAAGTTAAGGTCCAAGTGGTCTAAATCAGATTCTGCAAGGGTTGTAAATCCTGACGGGAAGTCATCCATTGCAGGACCTTTGGCCATCATTTAGAGTGCTTTTTAAGCCCTGCCAAGTCCTAAATCAACACCCCAATCATAATTTCAACCATCTCACATGAGACTTATTCCTTCAAGGCTTGTAAAAAACATTCTTTTTGGCCAATAATTGAGATCTAGGAGGGTTCCAGATTGGGATGAGAAGTCATCCATTGGAGGACTTCCTGTTGCCTAAATTGCTTGATTTAGAAGGGCATCTTAAACTCTATTGGCTGGTGAAAACTTGATGGGTTTTGCCAGCTGCAAACAAAGGTTAGGATGTCCCTCTAAACCAACAGATTTGGACCACAGGAAATCCTCCATTGGAGGACTTCCTGTCAAAATCTGTGAGTCTCCCAGTTTTGATTTAGAGCCGTAAAAGCTAGATTTACCTGCAAAAATCTAGACTTTTGGGGTCTTAATCAGAAACTGGGAGGGCCCCAGATCTGAGGGGAAGTTGTCATTCACAGGCTTTATTTCCAGATCTACAAGGCCTGATAAATAAGAGGCTTCCTGATTAATCCTCAGACTTGGTTGGCCTGCCCTCATATAGCAGGCCAACTAGACCTCATATAGCAGGCCAAAAAGAATTTTTACTAGCACAACATCTATCCATCAGCCAGACTCAAGCCAACACCAATTGACTTTTCAGCCATGGAAGATACAATCTGAGTCCCATCCAATTCAATATCTAAGAGCTTCTTGCAATTTTTGCCACAAGATTCTCATATTTCCATATGTACAGACTTGCTTTGTCCAGCATATGACACAACTCAAACATTCAATGACCCTCACTTGGCTTGTATTAAAAAAGTGATGATTAAACAGATCATATGAATACATCAATTCAGTCCAAGATGCCAGTCAGTCTGCATCAACCAAACTTAGCAAGAGAAAAAAGAGTGAGGTTAATTTCCTTGCTGGAACAGCTCAAATTGTTAAGAAATAGGCTTTTTTAGAACCATATTTATCATTTTTTTTTCATGAACATCCTTTGGATACATGTATGCATCACTTTACCAATACTCACAACTTTGTGTTTGTGGTTTTGATGTTGAACTTGTGGATTTCAAAACGGTGTGACCCGAGTATTGGATGATCCAGCACTGGCAGAACAAATGTCAGCAACACTACATCCCACCAAGCAATCAAGAAAAGTAAATCAATGACTTGACATAGAGTTTTGCCAGCCATAATAATTGGAACAGTGCTGCAGCTCAAAGTGGGTGGGATCCCCGTGACCATTAAAATGACACACGTTCATCAGCTCAGAGGCAACAAAGCTGACCGCTTTCCTTCGCGCAGTCCTCAAAGGACTAGTGCAAAGCTAAGAGCTTTTCAACTCTTGAACAGGTTCTCCTGACAAGAAGTTATGCAAATATGTCGGAAGGTCATATCACCTGATGTAATCAAGTGACGATCAAAAAAGATACTTTGATGCATATAAATATAGTTGATATACAGTTGCGCGCGGCAAATTACTGTACAAAACTGCATGGGGCAAGGTCGGGGGTGGGTCGGGGGACCAAACCTCCAGATGATGATATTTTTGGAGGTTTCAGACTGTGTAGATTCTAAATCCAAAGTGGCGACCAAATTGGTCCAGCCAGTTTTTTTTTTTTTTTTTTTTTTTTTTGGCCAGCAATCCGGACACATGCCCTCAGGCCGGACTTTCCCTTGCGCCAAGGGAAGCCGGATCCTCCCAAAAAGTCTTGACCATCCGGACACGACTTGTACAGTAATTTGCCGCGCGCAACTGTAGATGACGTTACTGTCATAACCACCAGGCCGTTGTCGTGTTTTACAACAAGTACGAAAAACCAGGCCGATGTGGTGATTGGTCTTTTCAGCTCGGCGTGGCGCCACGGACCGGGAGCAATATCGGTCCGGCTGGAAAGACAGGTGTAACAATGTGCTCAAGAGGAGAACGCGCCGTAACGGAATCTGTCAAACATCCTTTAGCTAACTTAACTAAGTCCCTCCGGCAGTTGATCCGATGGCTTGCCGGAGGCGGCGTCCCCCCTCCCATAGAGGGACTTAGTTAAGTTAGATCCTTTAGCCGCCTGCAGCTGCAGCTGGATTTTGGCATCGTTCAGCATGGAGGAGGAAGTGGGTGCTGGCGGCCTGGCCTTGTTTCTGCCATGAAGGATTCGAGAGGTTCAGTCATTGTCTCGTTTTACTGAGAGCCTTCCTATTCTTCTTCCCATTGCATTGTCTCATCCTGGCCGAGAGGGGCTTGAAGTCAGTTGTGCCTCTCGGCCACACATACGTGCTTCCTGCTCGCTGGTCTCCACTCTTCTCCACTCTCTGCAAGAAGACCAGGGGGGGATTGTATGTATATGAGTCACGGAAATAAGGGACCCTTCCGATTCTGCGCACAGTCGCAGCGATTCTCGGTATAGGCAAGTACGTGCATAACTTGACTCGGCACATTTTCCAAACCCGTCGGCGGATGGTCAACTGCCGAGACTCGATTCACATAAGTCAGTCTACCAGCGATAAAGCGATGTCGACGTCGTCGCCTTTCGAGCCCCCTGCACTATCATGTCACCGTGCCAGCGGAGATCAAACCCACAATGCCTTGCGAGCTTAACAAAGCCTCTCCAAGGAGGCGCGAAGCGTCTCCGAAGGGGAGGCTTGCCTCAATTGTCACACTGTCGGGTTGACAGATACAAATTTTTCACGCAAAAAACCCCCATTTTTACTTTTATTATTTGTTTAACACTCAAGCATGCGGATTAAAAAAAAACTGAACATGCCATATTGTAGCCTTGCATCTCAGCTTCCTTCTCATATTTTTTAGTTCCATGTCCCCCCATAAATACCATTGATGCCCGCTTGTTCTTCGGTGAGCTTCACATATTGGCGAAGTCACAAAAATTTCATATTATTCTAGCTTTCGGATACCCGATCAACGGATTCTAGAGCATCTCACGGGCTTTCCACCCAATGCATAGTATCCGTTGCTCAATACAAATAATTTGTATTGGCTTCGATAAGCTCTCACAGTGATTCACTGATGAGGTTTTGATGATGAGGCAAGTCGAGTCACCGGGGATCAGCTAGATGAGACCTGAAGGCAACACACCACGCAAGACAAAGACAAAAGATGATTAAACCAAAGAAGAGTATACCGGTATCAGTCCACCGGAAATTAGCTACGGGGGGCACAACTGTCCTGAAGAAACTCCTTGAGAAGAACGACGAAGCGCTCAAGACCGAAATTGCAAGCCGAGCTAAGACTTTTTACAATGGTTGAAGAATCTGGGTCCTGGGATAATCAATTCATTACAGAGAAAGTATGTTTTAACCAAACATGTGTTTATGACCAGATCGGTCAGAAGAAATATCCGGCCACATTGAGCACGGATTGCTTACAGAAATTTGTAGCAGAAATAACTTTACAGGATGACTCTTGCCGGGAGAGAGGGATATCAATATTTTTGAAGACAGCAAAAATTAGCTTAGAAGGCTGTGATTTTAATGGTGCCAAAGGCAGGATCAAAATCACAAGGCTACAGGGGCATACTGGTGGATTTGGGGGAAAGGGAGATCTCTCCTGCCATTTGGCACAAGTCTGTAGAGCACGACTTGCCGCTTTTGATGCAAGTCCCTCCTTTAGAGGTCGCTGCCGCGACCTCCTCGGAGGGACCTTGTGTTAAGTTCGAATGCCTTGCCGGGTTTAAATCTTGATCATCGCCACCGGTGAAGGTTTTCTCCATCATGATCGGAAACAATTCTGAGTTCATAACATTTGGACACGTCTCTGCTCTACTACATAAATACCTGTCGGCTCGCGACAAGCCTATAAATCCTCTGTAAGGCATCAGTGACACACCAGGGTAAGTTACCGCAGGGTCTTTTTTTCTAGCCGGTCACGGTGGGACACATATCGATGAATCGTCAGGACTGGCGGGGCTTGAAATTTCTATGACTTTTCACCCCGCTTCCTGTATGCTGACTGAAGCACCTCTCGTTCTGGCCCTATCCTCATGTTCTTGTACGGCACACGACTCGCAATCATAACTGTACGTACGGCGAGCTCGATCAAGCATTTGGCTGCCCTGAACTCTATCCACGGTTTTTTTATTATTTCTCCAACTTGTTTCGCACTATGACTGAGGCAATGAATCTCCATTCCCAACTTTCTCGCTGTTGACGTGGAGGAAGTGTCGACGTGGAGGAATGTCTTGTAAGGATGTACACAACCACTTCACCCATCCATACAAAATTCTAGGTGATGATTGGGCGAAGATAAATACACACTGGGTAACATCTTTTTTCCTCTCGATGGCCGGTCCTAAAGTACTGAGGTGCATGTTATGATTTCCACACAAGTCAAGGCTTGACCCAGCGCTGGTATCGCCGTAGGATAGTGGGGCAGCTCAATGTGAAACAATCGCAGTCGATAAGACATTCTACTTCAAGTTGAGCCGCTCATCAGAAGACATCTCACCTGAGGCGGAGGTTGCTTGCAGACAATTCTCACCAAGCGCAGAAGCTATAAAACCCCTCCATCTTCTATCTCGGGGGACAAATCAGGACAGGCTAAGCTACTCTAGCACATCCCAAAACTCGTCACACCTACTTAAATATCACTAAAACTTTCTATTCTTAGATCAGTTATTCATTCTTTAAAATTTAAATTTGCTTTACCTGCCTCTATATCGTACTCTTCAATCTTAGATAATTTGAAGCTATGCAGATTCGCCAGCTTGTGACTGTCTTGGGCCTCTGCCTCTTCCAAGCACGTGCTATGATAGTCAATGAACCGTTCGACAATGCACTCAAGTCGTTTGTCATGTTCATGACGCCGTCTGATGCTCCAGTTCACGAATCCAAGAAGTTCCAAAGTGTGGCAGATGCCTTAAAATACCCTGGGCTTTCAAGTGATCCCCATTCGCTCCAACATATTGTACATCACAGCATTGCACCAATCATGCGTACCAACCAGGAGAACTTACCCTATATCTATGCTGGTTATGATGGATATCTAAGGACCGTCAAGTCAAGTGCGCTGAAGCATGAACCCGCAACGAGGGATCTGCGATTGTCATTATACCGAAGCGCTATATACAACGAACTCAAGGCCATGGTTGACAGCAACCCAGAAATGTTAACCCCAGAAAAGCTAGAACATCTCCGTGGCCACTTACTCCCCATATTGAATCCACAAGCCGGGGTTCATCAATCCAATCACGCAAATCCCACTGCAAAACTTGTTGAGCAGTTCCGAGAGGAAGCCGAGAATGTGTTTAGAACTGAACCTAAGGGAATCAAAGCGATGGACAGAGAAGAAATCAACAAGCAGTTGGAAGCAACCAACAAGAACAAGAACGTTCCGGCCGCATTGCTCATAAACGAACGGTTCGGTCACTATCTGAAGCACCACGCCCATCATGATCATCATGCTCATTTTGCAAGCGCCGGTGTCCCAAGCTCGATGCACGCTGTACCCGTTGCTTAACTCGATACAACTACTTGTTTATCCGAGCTTTAGTTTTTATTTTAAAGAAAAATGAGTGATAGTACTCTTGGCTGATATTTATCGATATGTAAAGCAAGAAACACACCCTATTGTCTCACGCTTTCAATAGAAATATTGTGATTCATGTCATCTCAGATTTCATTCTTACTTCTTTCCTAGCAATATGAAAGCAAAATCAAGTAAAAAACACTTCAAAAAAAGGCTAGCTGAGTCTGTGGCTGTTTCTTTCCTTCTATCCACCTGAACCATATTCTTTTTCCAACTGTTTATCTAATAAACCACATGGAAGAGTTATATTTGTTTGGAATTTATATGCATTTGTGGCCCAAATTCCAAGCTCATTTTTAAAAGGACATATGTCATGTGGTATCATGTGTCCTTTGAAGTATGAGTTGAGACTCTGGAAACTGCATGACCATAACTGTTTGATTTCTCAACCCCAAGAACATCCAGAGATTACTGTGAGTTACTCAACATTCTTGCTTAACTTCTTCACCTGGGAAAAGTTTAGCTGGAGCATACAGCCTGATGAATTTAATGGGTGTTCAGTGGTGAAGCACTGAGCCCTGCCCAACCACAGGGAGGGAATTATGCCTCAAGTGGAGGTGATTGCCTGAGACTATCCACCCAGAAATTGAAAAATCCAGTCATTGATTTTTATAGACTTTAGTTTGAACACAGCTGGGAATGACTACTGAAAGGTAGGATCTGATTGACTCCATCAATTTTTGGAGCTCACAACCAAGTATAATTTCTACCAAAAAAATTGAATTGAACTCATTTTCTTTCATCTTAGCCTGTGAAGACAGTATTGTTTGAAAAACTGAATTGAAGGAAAGCAACAGAAGATGCTAATGATTCTTTTGCTTCCTGGAGTGACACATGTAGCTCATCAAATGAGAGAGTTGCAAGCACTACAAAAAGTGCTGGGTTGCTGTGTGCGAATGGAAGGTAACATCACATGTCACATGCAATTTCACCTCACATTTCCAAAATGTGATTGAATTTTTAGCGCTAAAAATTTGATTGCATTTTGCCAATGCAAGGTGACATCCCATGTGACATGTGATGTTACCTCACATTTGCAGAATGTGACTCACTCCTTTTTGTAGTGAAGCAACACTGAGAAGTTACATATCAGCTACTTTTCTTTGGTTTTTTAACTTTGTACAACTCTTAAATGTGAACCCAATAAGTTTTTTGTCATGTAGATACAAACAAACAGGCTCTCTTCTTACATATTTCAAAACAATTATGGAACTAATTCTTCAACTGTAACCATGATAATATCAACAAGACCAAAAAAAAAAGTTATTCAAGCAAGGGTGGGTCACCTATGCTAACTGTAGATTTAGGGTGGTGTAGCAAATTTGCTAAATTTTACCGTAGCATTATACTGGAGGACTTCCCATCGCCATTTAGAGTGCTTTTTAAGCCCTCCCCAGTCTTAAATTAACACCCCAATCATAATTCCAACCAGCTCACATGAGAGCTATCTTCACAAGGCCTGTGAAAAAAAAAATTATGCCAAAAATTAAGATCTAGGGGGTGTAAATCAGATTCTGGGAGGGTTGTAAACTGCGACGGGAAGTCATCCACTACAAACAATACCAGTTTTGCCCCAGGAAAAAATGGCAATTTGAGTGGTGAAGAATAGGTCAATTTCCTGAGGCTTTTTTGACAAAATGACTCAGGAGTAAAAATAGGCTAAAACGAGCTATCTTAGCCCCCCAAACAAATGCCTCAAACATCCCAAAATTAATGTTTAGCTCATTTGAGGCATTTGTTTTGGCTAGAATAGCTCATTTTAGCTACACGCCTCTGGGAATGCTGATTTTTGAGGAAATTAGCATTTCAAGGGGCAGGGGTAGTGCAATTATCAACATGCTTTTTAGAGGATTTTTGTCCTGTTTTGCCACCAAAAGCGCTCTAGTGTAGCACTGGTACACCACCGCTCAATATTTTTCTGGAGCTTGCATTGGCTAGACCGCGCAGTTGAATTTAAGTTGGTTCAGGTCAGCACCAACCTGCATGCCATAAATCTTCTGTGCAGCGGGCCCAACAAAAACACTGGGTCTGGCAGACACATCCCCAACCCAAATGCCTCAATGGAGAAGCCAACCCCCCCAACATAGCTTTTGTCAGCAAGGTTGGCTTGACTTGAGTCATCCAAGGGTGCAACAGCTACCCTAGCCAACAAGTACAACTCTTCCAACAAGGGCCAATGGTTGGGCTGCTGTCAACTCTAGCCGGCCATTGCTGCCCTCCTCCTCAGTCCGCAGCTCACTCACTAACTATTGTCACCAAGCGGACAGTACACCACCAACAACTAACTCACTTGAAGATGAATCCCAATCAAAAATTGTCACACACACCGGAGCTCAATATCCCTGTGGTTCCTGAAGCTGTTTCAGCACCTGGCTCACCCAACACTGGGTTGCTACTTTACGCTGTGTTATCCAGTGTATCTGAGTAGTGTAGTGCACCCAGCTGCTTGGCTGCTACTTTACCACTACACTAACCACAAAATTTTTTCCCTGGGATGCAGTGTAGTTGGACCCTTTTCTGAAACCCAAAAAAACCTGATAGTGTAATGGTTTTACCCCTGGATAGTGTGCTACTGTAACTGCACTATTCTGTAGCGTAACTGGGCCCCTCTTTTTGAGACCACCAAAATCTGATTTTGAAAAAGTTTCACCCCTGTCTATTGTGTTACACACCATCCAGGGGTGAAACAGCCCTAATCTGATGAGGAACTGGTCCAGCATTGTCATTTAAGCATCTCGACCTGCTAGCAGCTAGAGATGATCTCTGGATATCTGTTGTGGATATCCGCTATCCGCTGGTGGATATCCTCCAGTGCCAACGGATACCTGCCAGTGGATGCAGATGCAGATGCAGATGTCCCCTTTCCCCTGAAATCCTGGCGGATATCCGGGTATCCCAGCGGATATCCGCCCCATATAGGAGGGAAAAAAAAGAAAAAGCAAAGAAAAAACAAAAGAACAAATAAAATAAAATAAGGGCCTTAATAAAAAAACCCGCATTTTCCGCGTTTTGACGCGGTTTCTGCTGCGCGCAGCACACGCGCATTCCGCGTTTAAACCTGCTTTTTTAATTAATTTTTTTTGGGCCTTAATAAAAAAACCCGCATTTTCCGCGTTTTGACGCGCTTTTGCTGTGGCACAGCACACGCGCATTCCGTGTTTAAACCCACATTTTCAATTAATTTATTTTGGGCCTTAATAAAAAAACGCGGTTTTTCCGCGTTTTGACGCGGTTTTGATGCGCCGCAGCACACGCGGGTTCTGCTTTTAGACGCGGTTTTGTAATTAATTTTTTATGGGTTATTTTCTGACTTTTTTTGAATTTTTAAAGTTGTTTCCTACACTATAAAAGGCGTAGAATTTAATGGTAAAAACCATTTTTCATAAAAATGAATTTTGATTATTAATTATTTTTTTTCACTCATTTCTCAATTAATTGTTTGCATACATGTATGTACCTTATTTTTTATGTTTTTTTAAAATTTTAAATTCATTTCCTAGGTTTCAATATGCGTAGAATTTAATGGCGCAGTCCAATTTTTTTAAAACTCAACGGTTCACTTTTAATACTCAAATTACACCCATTTTTTCACTTAATTTTTTACAGCTTAATTCTCATCATTTTTTGACATTTTAAATTTATTTCCTACACTTTAAGACATGTAGAAAATTATGTTATCAACCATTTTTCCCCAAGTTGAAAACTATACCTTGAATGCTGCATTTGACACGTTTTTTTAATTAATTCCTCACTTTTTCACCTAATTGTTTGCATACATGTGTGTACCTTATTTTCTATGCTTTTTTGAAATTTTAAAGTTGTTTCCTACATTTAAAAGTGTGTAAAATTTAATGGTAAAACTCAATTCCCATAAAACTCAACGGTTCATTCTGGATACTGTAATTAGTCATATTTTTCAATTGATTTTTAAGAGCTTAATTTTCATTATTTTTTGACATTTTAAATTTGTTTCCTACACTTTCAAACATGTATAAAATTATGGCAACAATGAATTTTCATCAAAATGAAAACTATATCTTGAATAATGCCTTTGACATGTTTCCTGAATTAATTCTTACACACTCAATTATCCTTATTTTTTGGAATTTCAAGCTCATTTCCTACACTTTTAAAGGTTTCAGAATTGAGGGCTGTATCCATTTTGCATTCAAATAAAATTTGTATATGGTACAAATTATGCAAGAAACAGGGTACGCTCATCTATTAAGATTGAAGCTTGTATTTTGAGTGAAATTGGACTTCACCATTCAATTCTAAACATTTGTAAATGTAGGAAATAAATTTAAAATAAAAAAATGCTTAAAATCAGGCCGGTAAAAATCAATCAAAAAAACATTAAAAAAAGCCTGTCCACTGCAGTATTCAGTAACAAGCGCTGATTTTTATGTAAAATGGTTGTTACCATCATTTTTATCATGTATTAAAGTGTGGGAAATAAACTTAAAATGTCAAAAAATAGTGAGAAATAACATGTAAAGAATTAATTGAAAAAAGTGTCTTGTTTCAGTATTAAAAATGAACTGTTGAGTTTTAAGAAAATTGGATATCACCATTAAATTATACACACTTTTAAATGTATGAAAAAACTTTAAAATTTCAAAAAAGCATAGAAAATAAGGTACACACATGTATGCAAACAATTAAGTGAAAAAGTGATGAATTAATTAAAAAAAACGTGTCAAATGCGGCATTCAAGGTATAGTTTTCAACTTGGGTAAAAATGGTTGTTACCATAATTTTCTACATGTCTTAAAGTGTAGGAAATAAATTTAAAATGTCAAAAAATGATGAGAATTAAGCTGTCAAAAATTAAGTGAAAAAATGGGTGTAATTTGAGTATTAAAAGTGAACCGTTGAGTTTTAAAAAAATTGGACTGCGCCATTAAATTCTACACACATTGAAACCTAGGAAATAATTTTAAAATTTCACAAAAGCATAAAGAATAAGGTACATACATGTATGCAAACAATTAATTGAGAAATGAGTGAAAAAAAATAATTAATAATCAGAATTCATTTTTAAAAAAAATGGTTTTTACCATTAAATTCTACGCCTTTTATAGTGTAGGAAA